TTATTATTATATATATATATATATATATATATATATATATATATATATATACATATATGGATATTAAATTTTAATTGCATAATTTGAGAGTCCTAAATATAAAAGATATATTTTTTATTATATTATTAAAGTATTGTATTAAGATATAGTGTTCCAAATCAATTAAGAATAGTAAAAAATAGTAAAAAATGCACTTTTGAAAATAAAAACAATAGAGAAGAATAAATGTTTTTAAAACCACAAGTGAAATGACTAGAAAATATAATATATATAATATATGCGATTATCTATATATCTATATAATTGGAGCATTATTCCATAATAGTTTAATAATACGCCAAACAAGAAGGAAATATTTAAAGCGATAAATGCGTAAGAACAGTTATGTAAATTTTATTTGTATATAAACAAATACGTTTAATATAACTGTCAATAGTAGTAAAAGTATTTTTAATCTATTAATTTAGTTATATCTATCAGGGATTTAGTAATAAAGAATTATTATTAAGTTAAATATACAAATCAATAAACTAATATAAACAATGTATTTTATATATCTACATGCAGAATTTGTGTTATAACATTAATCACTTAAGTAGTTTTAACGTATACATATCTGGATTAGTTGTTCTCTTGCTGGCCCCTAATTATTTCTAAGCAATGTCATTGTTCTTTATTACAGTATGTACATATTAAGTGAAATCAATAATGATTTATCACCATATCAAGCGCAATATCAAATAATTCATTATTTTCACTTTCAATATCTCATTAATTTTTGAATATATTACTGATACCTCTTCAACAGTGCAATATCACAAGTATAACATATATATTTATTCAAATGGAAATACTTTTCATGATTAATATTTCTCATTAAACACATAAATCTGACATTAATATAACAGTTAGCAAATATCATCTTATACAGAAAAATATGCAAACATACTAATCATTTTAACGTAATGAATACCCAGATACTCATTACACATTAAAAATTTATTTGAAATGGATTTACACTCAGAATGTTAAAGTTCAATTTCACATAATAAGGCGTTTAAGCTTTTATTAGAACATATATATGGCTCAAAATAACGTCTGAATTTTGCTTTGGTGATAAATGTAAAATTTCAAAAAGTTACCTAAATCAAATTAAGACATACAATTAATAACTTTTTTAATATATAATCATATACTATTTGAGCCATTTCTAATGTAAATGCACTAAATATATAAAATGATAGTAACACAGTCATTACATTATATAATCAATACTTATATCACATTAAATAATCGCATACATATATCTAAGGGGCTAAAGTATAACTTAGTGCATTTCATTAAATAGATTAAGACATTCTTATACAGAAAAAACACATGAATTACTAACCTATTGATAAAGATTCGAGATAAGATTTCAGTGTGTCCACAACACAACGATGCTAAACTATATGTTTCTTAATCAAGATAAGATTTAAAGCTCGGTTCTCTCGCGATGCGATATGGGT